GGATCCTTATGGTCAAGCATGAGCACCATTGAGTGGCTGAAATTGGCTGAAAAAACAAGCAAAAACTGAATTATTATGAGAGAAAAACACTGTTCCGGCTGAAAAAAGAAATCGAATAAGCCGGCTTTTAAGGTAAGCCGAACGGGTTGGATCAAACCGTATTGGTTGGAGGGTGGAGATCAAAGGACATGCATGGAGGCATGCATAGGGGCGAGTGCAAGGTCGGTGAAGGAAGTGGGCCCACCAGGTGGTGGTGGTCGACCCCCTCACTTCCAAGTGGGGCCTCCCCTTTTTGTGGGTCCTCTTGGCTTGATGTAGAGTGGGCATGTGCTGCCCAAAGTAGCTTGGCATGTCAGTTTGTAGAGATGTGGGTCCATCAATCCATGGATTTGCATCTCCCACCATTGAGAGAAAGCACAAGCTTCATTCAAGGGTGAAGATTTATTTGAGAGTGCTTCACTTGGATCATGGCAAGCTTGGAGTGCTGGTAGACCCCTTGGGATGGTTGGCCGACCACTCTATGGTGGGCCGACATGCTCACCTTGCTCCATTAAGCTTAAATCTGCATAGGAATACTTCAAGTACAAGTGGAACTTATTATTTGATAAAATACGATGGGCCCACATGCTCACCTATAAAATGCACTTGGCTTCAACGCAGCAGCAAAACCACTAACAGAAAATTGCCTAACATCAGGTTTTTGGATTGTTCAAAATTTAGGCATTTTCATGTTTAATTTAATCTAGAAAAACCATAGCAAATTTTTGACGACATATATGTGCACATGTGAGATCTTACCACTACCAACAGTAGCAATAACATACATGACAAACATAATGACCGGAGTAGATATTATACTGAATTGAGCACAATTAGTAAGAGATGTGTATATCCTGCGGAGGGATCTATGCTCAAGGCACCTATGACTCCATGCATACTAGTTGACATAGTGCGTTGCTCGATGTTACGGATCACATTAGATGCAGGACGATGTTCACGGTGCAGTCCATCGAACGTCCACCAGGAAGAAGATGAAGTCATTGATCGGATCGACAAGCGAGCAATCGTGTTAGACGCTCCCCAAAAACCTGATTGCCCGACACACCGAGCAGGTGACATAAACGCGAGCATGGTTTTAGAGGCCTGCTCTTCTAATCCTCCGTGCGCGCACAAGATTGATATGGGAAAAACTAGGGAGCAACTCAACAGCAAAACGATGATGCTAGATGTATTGTGTCTCGTTCGCGCGGTTGAAGATAAACGTTCCTTCTTATAAAAACGGAAGGTGAAGATGAAGTGTAGAGGATGAACCTACACGTCATGAAGCGCCCATCAATCACCGGTAACTGTTGCCATATACACGAGGGTTACTAGTACAACCATAACCATGAAAGCTACTAGCAACCGTCACCATAACTATGGCCTTTACAAGTTTAGCCATGAAGTACATTCACCTCACCATTTTATTACACCTAGCATAAAATATATTCTTAGAATTTATTTGATTTAATTAAATAAAATATGAGTCAGACCCATATTAAACCCAACACCAGCGAGGCCCGGTGTGTGTGGTGCTCGTCAGCATGCAGCTCCTCGGCGTACGGCTACTCTGCGTTGCTGCATCGCCCGGCCCCCGACTTAGCGTCATGCTAGCTGACCTGATCCCCGGTAGCGGCGGCGCGGTGTACAGCGGTAACTAGGCGCTGCAGCCCCGTCCGGGTGCTGGACACGGCGAGGTGCTTGGAGACCTGTTACCGTCCCCGACGGTGCCTGACATGGCGAGGTGTTTGTCGACCTGCTCCCGGGCGGCGGTGTCACGGTGCACGATGACTACGGCTACTACCCGTGGCATCCTCGCCCAGGCGCCGGACGCGATGAGGTGTTTATTGGCCAGCTCCCGGGCGGTGTCGGCGTGGTGTTCGACAGCTTAGGCAACTTTGCGCAGCAGAATCTCCCGGGCGCACTGGGGATGCCGACGGAATCGGTGGCATGCTCCGCGACCCCAACGTCGGCACAGGGTACGACGGCTCCGGGGCCCTCGCTGACGACCTTGGCGCAGTGTACGACAACCCTGGCATGGCACCCGAACACCTGCATCGTCTGCTTGCGTTCGTCGGAATCGGCGCCTCCTCCATGGCTGTCAATGGGCTCGCCAGCGGCCCGGGCTCACCGTCTATTGCGTTTTACCTCTTCACTTTGCTTTTGGGCGGCCTGGTTCTGGTTACCTTGCAAGTGCTCCGTGTGTAGCCTTGTCCCATGATGAGTGGACTGAGGCAGCTAAACATCTGATTATCATGTGATAGGATGATTTGATTACAAACTGCGCTTGGATTTGGTGGGGAATAATCCGCCATGTGTGTTGTGTAGGGGTTCTGGATCTGGAGTCGTTGTTTGCTCTGCCCTTGGCTTGTTCAGTGTGTCGGCGTCAGGTTTGCTTGAATTTATCGTGTCAAAATCTACCGGTCAGCGCAGAAGGCCTGTTCGACAGGACTGAAAAATATTGTTCCGGTTGATTGTTGTGAGAGAAAAATACTGTTGTGGCAGGACGTGAACAGTGATTTCGTGAGGTGGTTGGCCAGCCAGCCAGCCACCAGCCAGCCGAACACTGCCTGGTCTTTTGTTGACCTTTGCTGTTTGTTTATTTTTTGATAAAAGATCGAGTATAAAGCCATTATTGTTCACTGAAGTAACTTCATTAAACTTCTATCGAGGGGTAATTAGTCTTGTATCTTCTTCATCTCCTTTCTTTTCTATTATTATCGCAATTCTTATCTATTTTTTAGCTTTCTTTTGATTTAAAATATATTAACTTTGCTACTGCCGTATACTCATTTAATCATGTATAATTGTTATCGATTTAAATGGCCAATCTATGTCCAAATTCTAACTCCGCCCCGCTGAACGCACCGGCTAGGCCACTATCAACTGCCTGCAGTTTGGGAATATTAACAGGGCCTTCCCAAACTTAAAAAATAGGAGGGTAAGCAGGAAAAAATGTCCAGTAACATCGTGATGTCGTTTTGTTTTGTCTGAATAAAACAGAAACAAAAATGGTGTACTAGGCACTGTAGTATGCAGGCACGGGTCCATAGATGATGGAAAGGAGCAGACCTGAGCTGAGCTGATGCTTACAGCTATGCTTGTATTAGGGCGTCCGTCCGCTTCGGAGGGCCCGCTGATAGGCTGGGAGGCCCAGAAGGTTCCCATGTATGTTTCTATCCACTCACCTCTAGTCACCGTAGTTTTCTAAACAAAAGGAAAAAAAAAACTCACCGCAGCGCCGCTAGCCTGCAACCACACTCCGCCACGCATCCCGTCCGCCATCTCCATAGTGACTCCTGCCCGCCTTCTCTCCACTGCACCTCCCTCTCCACTGCGCGCTCCCGCTCGCCTTCCTCTCCATCGCGTCTCCCGCCTGCCTTCTCCACCGGAGCAACCTGCTACGACCTTCTCTACCGGACCTACCGCGGCCTTCTCCACCGGTCCTGCCGCGGCCTTCTCCACCGTGACGTGTTGCTACCGGACGGCGTGGCGCGGGGCTACCCTCTCCCAATCGCGCAGCCGCTGCCTCTCTGCCACGTTGCGGAGCCGCCGTTGCTGGCACGCCGCCTACAAGCGCCGTCGGGCTGTTGCCTCCGGCACGCTAACGAGCCTCCATTCTCCCAAGCAGCAAGGAGATGTTGCGCTGAAGCACATGTTGTAAGTGTATATTAAGTATTTCAGATGTTTCAGAGGTATGTTGCAAGTGTTTCATATGAATGTTGCAAAAGTAAATCAGAGATGTTGCATATGTTGCAAGTGTCTATTCCCAATGTTTCATCTGTATTTTCAGACGTATGTTGCAAGTGTGTTTATCTGGATGTTACATATGTGTTCACACATATGTTATAAGTGTTTTATTTGGATGTTGTGTATGTTTGTAATGGTTTTCAAGCGTTATTTAGGTGTTTTTTGCAAGTGTTTCAGAAGCATGTTTCAAGTGTTTTATTTGTCATTAGACGTATGTCGCAACTGTTGCATCTGGATGTTTCAAAAATAGATCAGGTGTTTACACATGTTGCAATGTCACCCGCCTGTTGCAGCTGCTAGAGGGGGGCGAGGGTCGAGCAGGGCGCAGACGCCAAGTGGGGTCGGCCAGGGGCGCAGACGTTGCGTGGGTTTGAGTTGGACGCAGACGCTGCGTGGGGTCTGGTTGGTCCATCCACTATTGATCTTTCACGCTTGCAGCAACAGCAGCTAGCAAATGAGTGTAGCCGAACAGCTATACTTACATTTGTGAATTAATCACCGCCAAATCGAGCGGTATAGTTGTAGCCTACTTATCTGAATTCTGAAACGAAGATGTAATTCATCAGATCGCTTTGTGTGTTGGGTTTGAGCTGCACACAGCACACTACATTGACAAATACAGAGTATATTCGATTAAGGAACATGACACTGGCATGAGCATTTGCAGTTGCGATTTGCGAGTAGGGCATATGCAGCGGCCCTGGCCACTAGTCTCTCCGCGGTTATCCGCTCATAGCCAAAATATACTGAACTCTGATAGGCCCTATGATATCTCCTAATCCATCCTTAGTTGAGTACCATTTCATTCCAGAAATCTAGGAGACTTGCACAAAGATACTCGGAACATGATGCTCAAGTTACAGATATGATTGCATTTTGACCAAATGCTCGTAGACAGACTCACGTTGTCGCTCAAAATAAATATAAATAGTATTGCCTTATGGATTGCAAGTAGGAAAGAAAAACACTCACAACTTTTATACTCCAACAAAAGCACACAACACGACATGACAGTGCAACAAGCACGCGGTAGGGGAGATACTACAACAAGCAACGGTACTAAGTTTAAGACAGACGCGGCGTGGTGGTGGCACTTCAATCGGTGATCTCTTTACCTGCAATATCCACAGCCCAATTCCGGAATTAGGCACGGTGACTGGTGACAGGGGCAGTGGCGGCGGCAACGTCATGTTGATCAGGAACTGAACTGATTATTCACCACGGGCTCCCATGTTGATCAGGGAGACCGCGAGAAGGAGCAGGGAGAACGTGGCGAAGCAGAGCACCTGGTCTTCCTCGCCGGAGACCGCCATGACAGCACAAGAAGCCATGACGAGCCCCACGGCGGCGGTGTTGCGGCGCACGAACACCGCGAGAGCTCGTGCACCTCCGGGCACCACCGGAACGATGCGCGCAGGGCCGTCGTTCATGCTGACGCCGGCGGCGACGAGGCTGGCGCCGACGAGGACTCCCATAAAGCAGAGGAGTAAGCCGAACCCGCCAGCGCCGACGTGCATGCCAACGCATACAGAAACCAGCATGACGGTGAGGCCGATGGTCATCGCCCTGCTACCCGGAGTGCTCATCGCCGGCGGCGTGTGGCACCGTAGTCCTCTGTTAACCAGAACACCAAGAAGGCAAACGAAACTCTTTTCAAAGTTGGCAAGAATCATGGAAAGGGTGGCATGCGCTCGTTCAACGGGAAGTTATTCCGGCGGCCGGAACCAGCTGAACGTCCGGCACGGGCGCACAGCCGTGTTCAGACTCTAAAACCTCAGCTTTTTTTTTCACAGAAGTCATATCCGTTGTTTTGCGCCGAAATTTAGAGTCGAAGAAAAATTGGTAAGGCAGAGGAGAAGGAACGTTACCGGTGTTGGTGGCGGTGAGGAGGCGCGGGACCTCTGCGGCGAGCGCGACGCTGATCGCTGACGATTCGGAGCTTGAGGTCCTTCGCAGTTCCCCGTATCCTGTGGCTGCTCTGCTCACGGGAGTCCGGGTTCGGGAGGGTTTTATAGCGGGCGTGGGGGATTGAAAGTACACAAAGTACGGGCTGGGTGGGGCCATGCTGGCAGTGAGAGGCCTATGCGTGTGGAAGTGTGGAACTAGCCGGTATTCAACCGGCGGCCTGCGGCTTTTCGCCTTCCTTTCCTTCCCTCGATCGCTCCACGGTGGCGTGAACCGGCTTCGCTATATATAGGCCCAAAATTTTCGGCTTTTGGTTACTGTAGCGTTTTGTTTGTATTTGGCAAAAATTGTCCAATTATGGACAATTTAGGCTTTAAAAATTCGTCTCACCAATTACGAGCAAACTGTGCAATTAGTTATTCTTTTTACCTATATTTAATGCTCCATGCATATGCCGTAAGATTTGATGTGACGAGAAATCTTTAAAATTTTTGGATTTTAGGTGGGATCTAAACAGGGCCATAATAACGAGCGCCCCGGCCCCAACTCCAAGCCTTTCTGTGACCGGGACGCGCTTGACGCACGCAGGACGTGTGCCCCTGACTCGTGGGGCCTTAATGCCCATGTGGTCTGACCCCACGCGTCATTTTCTTTGCAAATACCAAATGGTTAGTTGGTCTCACCCTCACCCGTTCTTGCGTTGGCATGCGATGCGATGTGGCGTGGAGTCCGCGACCGCGACATAACCCACAATAAACATGCTATCCAGTAGCCAATTCGTGCGTAGCTGCAGCGCAGAACATTCAATTCCCCGCCCCCCCGATAGCCAGCCCAGCCCGGGCCCCCAAGTCCACTACGTGATGTCACAGAGGTCACACATTTCATAATTGGTAAGGCAGAGGAGAAGGAACGTTACCGGTGTTGCTGCCTCTCCGACACCATTGCGTGCCTGGGAACTGCCGCCTCTACGTGTGCGATAGAGGAACAGGGAGGAGGGACGGACACGGATGGATCGGAGACGGTGGCGGCGAGGGAGGAGGAGCGGGGGCCCCCTTTTGTAAGCGTCCGGCCGGTTGGTGTATCATGCATGGCGCTGCCGCTGTAGAACGCACGTGCTGGTTTCCAGTGAAGAAAAATTGGTGGTGAAGTCACGGCCGGGGAGCGACCTGGAGTCTACGGTCAATTTGGTTTGGCTGCGCAGCGAGAAAGGAAATGGCCACCCGGTGGAAAAGAGAGGGACAGATCATGCCCTGTAGCTAGCGCACACAGATTAACCGGAATCCTAGGTGTATAGATACTGATGATCGCGTCGAGTCCGCAGCCGGCGTGCGGTTGCGCCACCGGTGGGCGGTGCGGTGGCTGCCTGTGCCTGCACGGCTCACGAACGCCCCACAACGATTCCACCGTGCAAACAAGGGCACCATAGAGGCCGTATGCGATGGTTATCAGTGAAACCAAGCAGAGCCAAAGATGTGGGAGATCGTGTGCGCCGCGCCAGTGCCCCTGAGTTTACTACTAGTCAGCAGTTGTTAATGAGCTTTCTGGAATTGATGGGAAACCGGGAATACTCTGCAAGATTTGTCGCCCAGTGGACGGGTCGACTTTTGACATGAAGCAACAGTGTCCCAACAGGATTTGCTTATGTGCCGAGCTCCAAACGTAGGGAAGAATATCGTGACAAATTCGCAACACAGATCTAGCCACAAGTCTAACTTGCAGGAACATTTAATAATGCTTGTTTGAGTGTAATTGTTTGTTCAAGCGATAACGATGCCCTCAGGGCGTCTGTCCTTCTAGACGGACCAACCCGCTCGCCCCCGCCCTCGCCTCGCACCTCACGCAAAAAAGCCGAAGCTTCTCGAGTCCTTCGACCATTCCGATATGGAGCAGCAGCAGGTACACTGCTACAGGAGGACTCCAACCTCAACGTCCCCTCTAACTCTGACACCGTGGAGCTCTCTGGGTCGGATGACGAGGCCGATGAGCTCTCGGGCTCGGACGCCGATGTCGACGGAGGCTCGAGCAACGGCGACGACGTGGATGAGGAGGACCGCGCCGCACCCACCATCCCCCGTGGCGCCTCCATCCCACGCCGCGCCCAACTCTAGCGCGCCGCCACCGCCATCCCCCATGGCACATCCGTCCCCTGCTCTACGCTGCGTCGTACGGAAGAAGGGTAAAAAATAAATGTTGCAACTGTACATTTCAAGTGTTACATATGTTTCAGTGGTATGTTGCAAGTGTGTCAGATAGATGTTGTAAAAGTAGGTCAAGATGTTGCATATGTTGCAATGGTTGTACACGTATGTTGCAAATGTCTGTTCCTAATGTTTTATCTGTGTTTTCGGATGTTGCAAGTGTGTTTATTTGGATGTTGCAAGTCTTTTATCTAAATGTTGCGTATGTTTGCAATTGTTTCACGTGTTTTCAGATGTTTTTGCAAGTATTTCTGATGTATGTTTTAAATGTTTCATCGGTTTTCATACGTATGTTGCAAATGATCTGGATGTTTCAAAAGTAGATCGGGTGTTGCATCTCTCTCCTTGCCTTCTGCTGCCTCGCCTCGGTGTCTCCTCCTCGTCTTCTGCTGCCTTGCATCCTTCTTAGACCGCGGAGGGGACGCAACGGAGGTCGGTGGTGGGGGCGCGCCAGTGGATGGCGGCGCGGACGCGAGCGCGTGCTCTTCCCTTCTCTGTTACGCATGTAGGAATAGGATTTCCGTCGGACTCCCGTTTTTTTTTAGAAGTATCTGTCGGACTTCAGTTGGTGGGCAGGGATACCGCTTCCGTTGCTAGCCTAATCCCACATATCGAGTCACTGTTGGCTGGTGGGAGTCGCGTTCGGATGCGCCGTTGGGGCCGGACGTCGGGGCGCCAGTGCCTCCTTGTTCAACAGAGCCTAGCGCACACACGTACAGTTACGTACTTGTGACTGCTGCCAATGAAATCTAGGATCTAGCTCTGGTTCCTTTCGTGAAAAAGCAAGCCGCAGATCGGCGGCCAGCGCAACGGAACCGTTATTTCGCCACGCGGGCCACCACCGTGTCCGGACGCAGTAGTCCAACTGTCCAAGCGCAGCAGCGGCTGCATGTGTTCATCAGAAGACTATCAGAGTGACAGCGACAGGGAGGAGGGTGAAATCGAGGAAATTCATTCACTCGTCGGCCCGGCCGGGTTTGCGGTGTGACGGATCGGGATCATCGTGGGATCCATCATCATCATCACGCCAAGCGCCTCGGCCGCGGCCTGCGGCTTTGGCGCCGGGTTGGTCGCCTTCCTTTCCTTCCCTCGACCGCTCCACGGTGGCGTCAACTGGCTTCGCCATATATAATAACGAGCGCCCCGGCCCCCGACTCCAAGCGCAGGCCAATGCACTCAACAACCTCTAGAGCTCCAAGCAACCAAAGCCCGGTCGGTAGCCCACCACTCGCTCGGGTGTTCACGCATTGCTGGAGCCGGGGAACATGGACCACAGAGGCGAGGCGGCGACGGTGAAAGAGCCGGGGAACATGGACCACAGAGGCGAGGCGGCGACGGTGGAGCTCACCGACCTCGGCATGGCCGACGTGGTCCATGGACGCGAGGCAAGCATGAGCACCGGCACGTTCCACGGCCAGCTCGGCGCTGCCACGGCGTACGACAACTCCGCCGAGTTCGCGTGCCATGTCCGCGCTGCGTCCGCCGGCACGGCGCCTGTCGCCGTGTTCCACCGTGAACCCGGACCCGGCGTGGTGTACGCCAACATCGGCGCGTCCTGGCAGCAGCCAGGCCCGCCCGATGTGGTGCTTGTCGGCCACGACAGCTACTTCTACTCTGCGCTGCAGCCCCGCCCGGGCGCCGGACGTGGCGTGGTGCCTGCCGCCCTGCTCTCCGGCGGCCTCGGCGCGATGTACAACGGGGATTACGCGCTGCCACTCCGTCCGGATGCTAGACACGGCGAGGTGCATGTCGACCTGTTACCCGCCCCCGACGGCGCCGGACATGGCGAGTTGTTTGTCGGCCTGCTCTCGGGTGGCGTCGACGTGGTGTACGACGACTACGGCTACTACACGTGGCAGCCCCGCTCGGGCGCCGGACGTGGCGAGGAGTTTCCAGGCCCCCTCCCTGACGGTGTCGGCTCGGTATTCCACCACAACTCAGGCGACTTCGCGCAGCAGACTCTCCCGGCCAACGGGCGCGCCGGCGGGATTGCTGGCGCGCTCCGTGACCCCAACCTCAGCGCAGGGTACGACGGCTCCGGGGCCTGGCTGACGACCTCGGCGCTGTGTATGACAACCGCTGCATGGTGATCGAACACCTGCGTCGCCTCCTTCCGTTCGCCGGAATCGGAGCCTGCTCCGTGGCTGTCAATGGGCTTGCCGCCGGCCTGGGATCGCCAGCTGTTGCCTTTCATCTCTTCGCTCTGCTTTTGAGCGGCCTGTTTCTGCTTATCCTGCACGTGCTGCGTGTGTAACCTTGTCCGATGATGGGTGAACTGAAGCAACCAAAGATCTGATTATCATGTGATAGGATGATTTGATTACAAATTTGGTGGGGAATAATCCGGCATGTGTGTAGTGTAGGGGTTCTGGATCAGGAGTCGTTGTTTGCCCTGCCCTTCGCTTGTTTAGTGTGTTGGCGTCAGGTTTGCTTGGATTTGTCGTGTCAAAATCTATCCGTCAGCGCAGAATATGGTCTTTGTATCATCATTGTGTTGAACTTTGCTGTTTGTTTACTTTTTGATATAAGATCGAGTATAAAGCCATTATTGTTCACCGAAATGACTTCATTAAACTTTTATTGAGGGGTAATTGGTTTTATATCTTCTTCATCTCCTTTATTTCTATTATTATCGCAACTTTTATCTATTTTTTAGCTTTCTTTTGATTTAAAATATATTAACTTTGCTACTGCCGTATACTCATTTAATCATGTATAATTGTTATCGATTTAAATGGCCGATCTATGTCCAAATTCTAACTCCACCCCCGCTGAATGCACCGGCTAGGCCACTATCAACTGCCTGTAGTTTGGGTATATTAACAGGGCCTTCCCAAACTTAAAAATAGGAGCGTAAACAGGAAAATGACTAGTAACATTGTGATGTCGTTTTGTCTGAATAAAACAGAAACAAAAATGGTGTACTAGGCACTGTAGTCCGCAGGCAGGGGTCCATAGATGACGGAAAGGAGCAGACCTGAGCTGAGCTGATGCTTACAGCTATGCTTGTATTAGGGCATCCGTTCATCTCGGACGGCCCCGCTGGCAAGTCGAGAAGCCCAGAAGGCTCCTCTATCTGTTTCTATCCACTCACCTCTAGCCACCATAATTTTCTAAACAAAAGAAAAAGAAAAAAAATCATCGCAGCGCTGCTAGCCTGCGACCGTGCTCCGCCGCGCATCCCGTCCACCATCTCCACCGTGCCTCCTGCCCGCCTTCTCTCCACTGTGCGTCCCTCTCCACTGTGCGCTCCCGCTCTCCATCGCGTGTCCCGCCTGCCTTCTGCACCGAAGGCCTTCTCTACCGGACCTGCAGCGGCCTTCTCCACCGTGACGTTGCTACCGGGCGTGGTGTGCGGCTACCCTCTTCCAGTTGCGCAACCGCTGCCTCTCCGCCACGTTGCGGAGCCGCCATGGCTGGCCCGCCGCCTACAAGAGCCGTCGGGCCGCTGCCTCCGGCACGCTGACGAGCCTCCATTCTCCCAAGCAGTAAGGAGATGTTGCGCCGAAAGCACATGTTGCAAGTGTATATTTCAAGTATTTTAGAGGTATGTTGGAAGTATTTCATACGAATGTTGCAAAAGTAGATCGGAGATGTTGCAATGGTTGTACACATATGTTGCAAGTGTCTATTCCTAATGTTTCATGTGTATTTTCTGACGTATGTTGCAAGTGTGTTTATCTGGATGTTGCATATGTTTCACACATATGTTGTAATTGTTTTATCTGGATGTTGCGTATGTTTGCAATGGTTTTCAAGTGTTTTTCATGTGTGTTTTTTTGCAAGTGTTTCAGAACTGTCTTTAGACGTCTGTCGCAACTGTTGCATCTGGATGCTTCAAAAGTAGATCAGGTGTTTGCACATGTTGCAATGTCACCCGCTTGTTGCAGCTGCTAGAGGGGGCGCGAGGGGTCGGGTGGGACGCAGACGCTATGTGGGGTCGGCCACTGCCTCTCTTCTCGCCACCGCTACTTTATAAGCAGATTTTACTGATAATAATCATCTTCCCTCAAAATGCCAGGCAGGCCAGTCTTCCATTTCACTGTCAATTGGAATCCAGAAGATTGTATCTGCATCTTCTAGCCAAAATGTATCATAGATTAGTTGCTGGTCCAGTTGCCTGTCATCGGATTTATGAGCTCACTCACTCTTGTCAAAAGCGAGGCACCTTTGGGAGTGATTAGTTTCCTTGTGGTGTCCCTAGGTATCCATGGATCATCCCATATGTTGACATTCTCCCCATTACCGATCAGCCATACGAGACCTTCTTTCACTAATTCAACGCCTTTCAGAATGCTCCTCCAGGTATATGATATACCAGGTCGAGCTGTACATTTGAGTATATTTGTATGTGGGGAAATACTTTGCCTTAAGCACCTGTCCACATAGCGTTTGAGGGCTAGTAAGCAGCCTCCAAGCTTGGCGGCTTAGCATGGCCATGTTAAACAAATATAAATCCCTGAAGCCTAGGCCACCTTTGTTCTTAGGACTAGTAAGTTTTTCCCAGCTGAGCCAGTGAATCTTATTTACTTTGTCTTGTTGGCTCCACCAATATCTTCCAATCATGCTATTTAGCTCATCACATAAGCCTTTGGTAAGGTCAAAACATGACATGGCATAGGTCAGGATGGCTTGTGCTACAGCTTTAATTAGAATTTCTTTCCCTGCCTTTGAGAGGAGTTTTTCTTGCCAACCTTGAATTCTACACCATATCTTCTTCTTGATATATCCAAAAGCACTCTTTCTTGATTTCCCAACAGAAATCGGTAAGCCCAAATATTTTTCACTCCTTGCCTCGCTTTCAATGGAAAGGTTGGTCCTGACTTGGATCTTCACTTGTTGATGAGTATTCGGACTGAACATTATAGATGATTTATCTTTGTTAATAACCTGTCCAGAAGCCCGTTCATAAGCATCCAAAATACGTCGAAGTTCTTGTGTATCAGATGTCCTTGCTCTCATTAAAATGAAGGAGTCGTCCACAAAGAACAAATGATTAAATCTAGGCGCATGTCGACTAATCTTAATGCCTTCAATCTTATGTTCACTCTCTTCCTTTTGCAACATTGCTGACACGCCTTCTGCACATAAAATAAATAAGTAAGGTGACAAGGGGTCTCCTTGCCTTAAACCACACTGTGGGAGAATTTTGGTTGTAAAGGACCCATTGACACTAATTTTATGTCACAGAGGTCACACATTTCATAATAAGCTGAACCCATCTCCCATGAAAGCCCATCTTCCTCATCATCTTCTCTAAAAACATCCATTCTACTCTATCGTATGCTTTGCTCATGTCTAATTTAATAGCAGTCAGCCCCCCCTCACCTTTTCTTTTGGACTTTAAGTGACGAATTAGCTCGTAAGCCAGTAAAATATTATCTGTAATTAATCTTTCAAGATTTTTTTAGATAAACAGCGCTGGTTCTGTTCGAGCGAAGCCGATGAAGGGGTATGCCTTGGTGGGCTTTGTCTCAGGTGGCCCAAACTAAAGAAAATACGATGCATGGCTTAGGTGGCCCAACTAAAGAAAACATGCTACCTAGGCCCCATTCGCTGGTCTGAAACTTAGTTGAAAAACACTGTTTCAACTGGATCGTTGTGAGAGAAAAACACTGTAGCGGCTGAAACTAGCTGAATCTCCAGAGGCGAACCAGCCGGCTGGTTCGCTGGAACTATCCAGTAGCCAATTCGTGCGTAGCTGCAGCCCAGCATAGCAACTTGAATCCATGCCAAAACATGGGGATGCCTGGGGCGTGCGCAGGGGGCCGGTCAGGCCCGGGCGCGTCGGATGGTCGGAGAGGCGGGTAGGTGTCGGAAGCGGACGTCGTTCCTCTGGGCAGGCCTTCCAGTCGGAGATCGGATCGCCCTTCTGGCCTGTCGTTAGGTTTTTGGGCCGGCCCATGAGTTGCTCGTCGTTCGCAACGTCGTCTGCTAGGCCGAGCCTTTGTTGGGAAGCCGGTCCATGAGAGGCCCCGGGTTTATTAACCCAGGTTATCAGCTCATAGCCAAAATATACTGAACTCTGATAGGCCCTACGATATCTCCTAATCCATCCTTAGTTGAGTACTATTTCATTCCACAAATCTAGGAGACTTGCACATAGATACTCGGAACATGATGCTCAAGTTACAGATATGATTGCATTTTGACCAAATGCTCGTAGACAGACTCACGTTGTCACTCAAAATAAATATAAATAGTATTACCTTATGGATTGCAAATAGGAAAGAAAAACACTCACAACTTTTTTACTCCAACAAAAGCACACAACACGACATGACAGTGCAACAAGCACGCGGTAGGGGAGATACTACAACAAGCAACGGTACTAAGTTTAAGACAGACGCGGCGTGGTGGTGGCACTTCAATCGATGATCTTTACCTGCAATATTCAGCCCAATTCCGGAATTAGGCACGGTGAATGGTGACAGGGGCAGTGGCGGCGGCAACGTCATGTTGATCAGGAAGTGAACTGATTATTCACCACGGGCTACCATGTTGATCAGGGAGACCGCGAGAAGGAGCAGGGAGAACGTGGCGAAGCAGAGCACCGGGTCTTCCTCGCCGTAGACCGCCGTGACAGCACAGGAAGCCATGACGAGCCCCACGGCGGCGGTGTTGCGGCGCACGAACACCGCGAGAGATCGTGCACCTCCGGACACCACCGGAACGATGCGCGCAGGGCCGTCGTTCATGCTGACGCCGGCGGCGACGAGGCTGGCGCCGACGAGGACTCCCATAAAGCAGAGGAGTAAGCCGAACCCGCCAGCGCCGACATGCATACCAGCGCATACAGAAACCAGCATGACGGTGAGGCCGATGGTCATCGCCCTGCTACCCGGAGTGCTCATCGCCGGCGGCGTGTGGCACCGTAGTCCTCTGTTAACCAGAACATCAAGAAGGCAAACGAAAGTCTTTTCAAAGTTGGCAAGAATCATGGAAAGGGTGGCATGCGCTCGTTCAACGGGAAGGAAGTCCGGCGGCCGGAACCAGCTGAACGTCCGGCACGGGCGCACCGCCGTGTTCAGACTCTAAAACCTCAGCTTTTTTTTTCACGGAAGTCATATCCGTTGTTTTGCGCCGAAAT